ATGTAGAAGGCCCTCCCTAGAATGAGTGGCTTCTTCACTAAGTTTGGAAAGGACAACTTTTCAATGAACCAATGTTTAGTTTTCCCTTAAATTGTTCATTTTATACATCTTTTGTTCAGCCCAGCAGAATAATTGCAAACTGAATTAAAAACTAAAAATAAATAAATCAGAATGCAAGCATTTGATGTATTATACTAAGCTACAAGCCACCACATAGATTCCAAGGCACTTTGACTTTTCTGTAAAGGAATTATTTGTTGGATAACTAAAAACACCTGGGTGCATGGAATTTCCTGCTGCAGCTCAGCTTTAATTTTCTCAGATAGTTAAAAAAAAAAACCAAAAGGTGAAAGAAAGCCCCAATCAATCAAAATAAATGGCCAATGCACTGTAGCAATGATAGTATTTTCAAAATTAAATTCTAATCTCCACATGATTTCTTCTAAGTTACTTTTATTCAAACCATTCATCTGCCCCTCCTCTGTTTTTCAGAGTTTTTGTGTAGAACCCCCTAATTATTAACACCAGTTTCCCAGGCCACCATTTCTGTGTGAACAGAAATGAAATGTGAACCAAAACTGCCTATGTTTTGCTTGCTTGAATAATTGTGACTTTCTCTAGAGTTATTTAGCACCAAAGTTAGTAGACATCCTCTTCTACTCATCAACATTGATGGAAATGATAAGTGGGGAGAAAATAGCTCTATGAATGGAAAGGCATTGATTGATTACAGTTGCTTGCATACTGCCTACTGGAAAGGGTTACATTCCCTGGTACTGAGCCTGTGCAAAAATTAGGGTGCTCCTAGACTCAAGAGCTCTTGCCTGAGGAAGAGGCCGCCGCTAGAGGGCATTTGCACAGGTACATCTTTTGTGCCAATTGTGCCCATTCTTGGATCAAGAGGCCTTGCTTACCATCACTCACACCTTAGTCATTTCCAGTTGGATTGCAGCTCTACACAGGCTTGAAAACAACTTATAAGTATTAACTGATCCAGAACACAGTTGCGCACACTTGCTTTTCTTTTAGAAAAAAGAATGTTCAGTTTAGTAGCAATGCCCACATTGCAGTTTTTCAATTTTGTTCCAGCAGTCTCTTTAATATATTTTCTATTTCATCACCTGGAGACAAATGGGAAGCTGAACTTATTGTGAAGGGTTTCTCCAGTCAGTGATAAATGAAAGGCATCAGCCAGTGTCATCCATGCAAATTGGAACAACCAGATCATGATGCTTGATTTGAGTACAGTACACAATAGCTTTCGGTTCGTGATGTCTTTGGCTGTTTCTCAACATTTTTCTATTTTCTTCTGGTTTTGCTTTTTTTGTTCCTTTTTACTTCCTATAAAGCAAATGATATCCTGAGCTCAAGTGCTATAACTGAAAGGTTCCTCATATCCACTTAATTTTTGTTTCAGGTGCTGTTTTGTACAAGAGTTAATATAATAATGAACTTTTTACTTACAACTGTCAGGGTTCCAGAAATTGTCTGAATTAATCATTAACTCCGAGACTGGCATCAACTCAAGGTTCTTTATTAAAACATGTTTATTTGAACATGTTTTCTTCTTCCTCACAACACAGTTGTGTCATTCTAAATGCAAAGGAGTGGCCTTTTATTTGTTATACCACAGCACCAAAAATTTGGCAGTTTATGGAAAAATCTCCTGGTAGGAAAAAATAATTAGTGCTAAGGAACAAAATACTGAAGCACTTTAAGAAAATCCATACAGTGCATGAAACCTAGCAAGTAATTGTTGAAAGTCTTATTACATTTCTAATACAAAATTAGTCTGGATTATAAATTTCTTTTGTGGGCAATATTACATTCTAGTTTATTATATGTATTTTTAAAATCTGTTGTATTTTTAAAATTTGTATTTTGTTTCACTTGTTGGAATGGTATAAGGTCTCCTGCTTAAGCAGGGGGTTAGACTAGAAGACCTCTAAGGTCCTTTCCAACTCTGTTATTCTGTTATTTGAAGGAGGAAAAACACTTTGTAATGATATATGCAAGTGTGCACAGTGCCCTCTACTGGTTGAAAATAATAACTGCACCATTTCTGCTAGCATTTCCCCTTTCAAGAATAAAGAAGTCTTTTTTACATAGCATATTGTGTACAGGTAAACCTCGACTTGCAACAGTTCTTTTAGTTATAACTGCTCTGAAAAAAACCTGACTTATGACCATTTTTCATGCTTACAACCATTGCAACATCCCCAGGGTCATGTGATGAAAATTCAGACATTTGGCAGCTGACTCATATTTATGATGGCTGCAGTGTCCTGGAGTCATGTGATAACTTTTTGCGATCTTCTGACAAGCAAAGTCAATGGGGAAGCCAGATGCACTTAACAACTGTGTTACTAACATAACAACTGTGGTGGTTCACTTAACAACTATGGCAGGGAAGGTCGTAAAATGGGGAAAAATTCACTTAACAACTGTCTCACTTAGCAACCAACATTTTAGGCTGAATTGTGGTCGTAAGTTGAGAACTACCTGTATTATATTTATTTTGAAACACATATTGTTACTTTATATAAATGTAATATCCAATTCACATTTAATATCAACTCTTTTTTTAATCCTATATATCATGTATCTTTTATTTTGATGCAATTGGTGAGTTCATTTAGTTTCTGCACATTCCCAACCTGTAATCTGGCTTAAAGTGGGTAACAACAGAATAAGTTACACAATTAAAAAAGAAAAAGCAACGTAGTTTTGTGATGTTTATTATTCTAAAACTATAAGCAAACACAACAATGAAGTCAAAAGACATCACTCTTAAAACATAATAAAGAGCCTGACTGGTCTTTATGACCCCTTAAAATAGCATAAAGAAGCTCCACTTCACTGAAGTGTGTGTCTATGAACAAAAAGTGCTACATGAATAATTTCCTTTCTAAGAACATCAGAGGCTAGGGAAGCTATCAAAATTGGCAGAACCAATGTATACAAATATGTACACAAGATATATGTACCCAGATGACACACTATATAACTGAAAGATGGTTTTATTTTTTGTTTTTATTATTAAAAAAAGAATTACCATCTTCTTTAATTGCATGGAACCTATATTCATGAGTAATACATAGGCTGGAAGGTGGGGAGAGATGTCTCACTTCTAAACATATACCTCCCATGCTTTCATCTTCTTATTTGGAATATCCTCACCTTTCATCTCTTCTCAGCAGGCATAATAAACGTTTATACTTAACAACTCCTAGAGCATTATTACCACATCCAAGTCCCCTTAGGACTCTATTCAAAATTTTCTTCATTAGCTTCCAATCAGCTATTACTTCCAGTACAGAATGTTTCTTTACCTTAAATGGGGTTTGTTTGTTTGTTTTAGCCCTTCATTTGCTTGGCCTTTGTTCTGATGATGCTGATGCTTGCTCCCCAAGTCTATCAATAAATAAATAGACTCTTAATGGGCTTTATTCTTTGCTGAAAGTTACTATAAATGAAATCCTGGAAGCATCCATGGATCCACATTGTAAGTTTTTATTTCTTAGATATTATTTCCTGCATTCTCACTCAATAACAGGAGCAGCTGCTGCTGCCCGTGAGCAAAGATGCAACTGTGGCCACATAAAAGCACCTGAAAGTCTTACCAAATTAGGAACATTCGTACTTAAACAGAGTGATCAATATTGTTTATGTATTTCAGCTAGATAGGTATAAAATGGATTTTTAAACTATGTACAATTTAATATTGAGACAATTTTAGGATATGCTCATTTGTTGCAATAGTAGCAACGTAAATCTAAACTCAGAATCTTAATATTGTGCTATGTCCTCAGGATTTTGCAAATGCTAGATCAGCTAAATAGGTCAGGGTCATTTATCACTGCCACTAAACATGGCTCTTATGAACCAGTCCCAAAGTTTGACAGCTGTTCAAGAGGTCTAATTCTGAAAGAGAACTCAGAGCCAAGGAGGGCTGGAACCAATTAAGAGCCTGGGAAGCAGAATCCTCCAGAAAACAGCCTAGATCCTTCAGGAAATAAAAGATTCAGGAAAATCTGCAGCAGAGAGAAAATGCGTACATGTGCTTTGCATCTCAGACTGCAACCTTTTCCCCAGTGATGTACTCTGGCTTCCACCATTTCAATGGCTGCTCCTCCTCTGGCCAGATGCCTCTCGGCGGCTGTCGAGGGCCAGGGCCAGGGAGGCAGCGGACAAGGGGGACCCAGCAGGCGGCATCGCAGGGGATTTACCTGCGGTCCTCTTAACGTGGAGGCCTGGCAGCAGTGCCCCCTTGCCACTGGCTGTGATCCATTCCACTGCTGGCCCGTGACCAGAGAGAGGGCAATCAGTGGAGGGGGGCCCAAGTGGGGAGGAAGAAGGGAAGGAGGGAGAAAGATGGGAAGGAGGGAGGGAGGAAGGAAGGGAATGAGAGGGAGGAAGATGGGATGGGAGAGAGGGAGGGAATGAAAGAGGGAGGAAGATGGGAAGGAGGGAGGAAGGGAATGAGAGGGAGGAAGATGGGACGGGAGAGAGAGAATGAGGGAGGGAGGAAGGAAGGGAATGAGAGGGAGGAAGGGAGGAAGATGGGATGGGAGAGAGGGAGGGAATGAGGGAGGGAAGGAAGGAAGGGAATGAGGGAGGGAGGAAGAGGGCAAGGAGGGAGAAAGATGGGAAGGAGGGAGGGAGGAAGGGAATGAGAGGGAGGAAGGGAGGAAGATGGGATGGGAGGGAGGGAATGAGGGAGGGAGGAAGATGGGAAGGAGGGAGGGAGGGAATGAAAGGGAGGGAGGAGATGGGAAGGAGGGAGGGAAGGGAATGACAGAGGGAGGTAGAAAGATGGGAAGGGAGGAAGGAAGGGAATAAGAGGGAGGGAGGAAGACGGGAAAGAAGGAGGGAGGGAGGAAAGAAGGAAGGAAGGGAATGAGAGGGAGGAAGATGGGAAGGAAAGAAGGTGTCGTGCCGCCGAGCGAGCGCGCCGAGGCCCCCGAGTCGGGGTAGGAGGAGGGGATGTGACGAGGGCTGCGCGCTGTGCATTGTGGGACGCGCTTGCACGTTCGCCTGAGTCGTTCCAGTTCACGCGTGACGGAGCTCAGAGGGGAGCGGGAGAAGCCGGGAGGGGGGGACGCATTGCTACCGCTGCCGCCGACCCCGCTGCGCCGTAAGTGATCCACGCCGCGTTTCTTGCCCGGAGCCTCCAGGACGCGAAGGCTGCCCGGCGGCGGGGCTTGTCCTCTGAATGCTCGCCGCTCTTCTCTCGGTCGCTTGGGAAGGTGGGGTTGGGAAACGGCTGGCTCTTCGCTCTTTCTTTCTCTTGCCGTTGCAGCCCCGGAGGTGTCCGTTTTGCAGGCAGCAGCCCCTGTCTTGCCTGCCCGGCAGTCGCCGCCAAGTTCGGCTCTTGGGCGATCTTTGGGAGAGCTCAGCCGCGACTTTTTTTGGCATCTGGGATCTCAGTGGGGGGTGGGGCATGGGAGAGAAAAGATCCCTCTCTCGGGATCGACAGGGTTAAGAGAGAGCTGGAAGACTTCCCCGCTATGCCCTTAAAAGAGAACCAGGAAATAAACTCTCTCCTCTCTCGTTGCATCTATTCTCATTTTGACTTCAGCTCGAGCAGGGTCGGATCGGGAAGCGATCCGCAAATCCCGAGGAAAACAGCTCTGTTGCTCCCCAATGTAAAAAATTAAAGAAAAATGGTTTGGTTTGCTTCGGTTACGTTTCTCCTCCCTCCCTCCGACCGTCCTTCACTTTCCCCTTTCATCTCAACTCGGGTCATTGGACACGAACAGATAACGAACCGGGATTGCAAATAGAAATGCTGGGGGTGGGGAATTAATGGGGGTCATGTTCCCTGTTTCAGGGCAAAGGATGCTCCTGGCCCAAAATGCTTTGCTCAAAAGTAGCTTTTTAAAGTAGCTCATTATCAAAGGGATGGATGAAACAATGTAGCAGAAAATACCATGTCAGGAAAGGGGACGGACACACACACACCAAAACACATCTAAGAAAGTATTTTAGAAATCTGAACCAAAGCTGTGATGCTGAACCTGCAAGATTTACCCTGTCTTCTGAAGCGGGCAGCCATAATAAAATGAATAATAAATGTGTTTAGAAGAGCTGTTAATTGAATTATGACCTTCAGTTTATAAAAAGACTTCAGAAGAAGGTGAATTGTGGAAATAAGAGTTAAGAATTAAGGGCAGTCATAGCTCATACAAGAGAATAAAGTCCAAATTGTGGTAGCTCTGCTTGTTTACATGTGGGTCCCCCAATATTAATAAGATACGGTTTGAATCTGTTCAAAGTATGAAGTACACTTCTTACTAATTTGGATATTTCTCTGAAGTGTACATGCATGAAATTTCAAACTTACTTCCTGGCAAACGTATTTTGTCATTTTCAGTTTGGGGACCAAATTATCTTATTACTTATTATTACCCTGACTTAATTCATAACTCCATATGTAGATTTTGGCTGTGTTGAGTTATATCAGTTTTTCACGATCGGATATTTTGTTCATCTCACTAGAGTATTAATATTTATGCCTTAACGCCTATTGGGAGAATGTTACTTAGCAACAGGTGTATGGGGACTACTCTAGCTTACATGTTTCTTCTGTTTCTTAGGGTTTGAAAAGAACAAGCGCCAAAGTCAGTCATTCTTTCAATCAGGCAAGAAATGCATGAGTAGGTGAACAGAAATCTTTAGTAGGACTATATGCTTTAGATTTGATTTCAAAATAGCCATTTGGAGCATACAGAGGAGTAAATATAGCATCTGTGTGCAACTTTTTGAAGCAGCTGCATTTTCTCCTGGTATTGCATGGCTGTTCTCTGTAACTGCTATTATGAACCCTGGAAAAGATGTCACTGCTTTAAAGAATTGTAATAGGTATTACATTCATGCATCCTCATAATCCAAAGCAGTTTTTTGGAATCATATCCAAAACATGGCATAACCCTAATATTTAAGACAGTCAGAAACCAGAATAGTAGTTACTGATATTTGATAATACATTAATTTACTAAGAAACTTCTGTTGTGGATTTGCAATATATTTTATTCTTGACACATATTCAGCCATTTTTAATTGACTAAATCTTTCTTTAGATTTAACTAAACCTATACTTTTCTTTCTTTCTCTAATCAGATTCTACAAATAGGAAATGTGCAGTAATGCCTATACTATGTGTATAATTAAATACTTAATTATAAGTATTGATTATTATCAACTGCCATATATATTTCAACTGTTTCTACTGTAGCTTTACACTTGTGTAATTGAGAACAGAATCTGAATAACTTGGTTCAAGTGACAGTGACAAATTTGGAGTTTGCATCTGAATGCGGTCTGTACATAGTCTTTGATTAGGGAATGTATCAGCAGTTGTAGAGTCATTGGAATTTAAGACATTCAATTTGGAATTTTGCCAGTCGCATTAGTAGATTTTAAAAGAAGATAATTGGAAATAAAACTGATGTACCATTTAAGAATTGAAACAAAAGTGTGTATGTGCATGAAAGCACCATCCCAGAATATCAAAATGGTTTAATAAAAACTACTTGACAAACTCGAGGAGGATGAATAACTGTCATTGTGCTATGCTTTTCCCTGCATTCTATGTATTTATGTTGTCTTGTGCTGAGAGTATATGTAAGCAAAATCTCACACTAAAAGAAGTGCATACATAAGTAGGCAAGTAGCCAACGTATATCTTCAGCTAGAGCAGTTTTATGACACGGTTACACAAAAATACAAAAACATTGCAGAATGAGGAAGTACATAGCATATATATTTCAACCATAAATATTGCCAACCACATCAACATTTTCTTTCACTTTGCCTCCCTGATTATATTTGGTTATGTTTTATTAGCATAATATGTTTTCCCTTCAGCAGAGAGCAATAAAATGGAAAGGCCCAGTTCCACCAAATATGCTTTCTGAACTCCATGTGTGTATGTCATTAATGCTTCATTAATAGCTTCAAAAAAGCAGATTTATACTCAGCTTAAAAAAAGATTGTGAGAAGGCTATAAGTACTTCACACATTCATTCTTTTAAAAAAAGTTTGCCTAAGAGCTTTATGTATATACTGTAATAGAATCAATTGCTAGGTTGAGTATCAAGTGTAAGAATAGATAGAATAGAATAGAATACTTTATTGGCCAAGTGTGATTGGACACACAAGAAATTTGTTTTGGTGTAAATACTCTCAGTATACATAAAGAAAAGGTACATTCATTAAGAATCAAGAATCATAATGTACAACACTTAATGATAGTCATAGGGTACAGTCAACAAGCAAATCATACTAGGAAACAGTCAAGTGGGAGGGGATGGGTGATAAGGAGTGGTGAGAAGATTAACAGTAATAGTAGTGTACACTTTGTAAATAGTTGAACATTGTTGAGGGAATTATTCGTTTAGCAGAGTGAGGGCTTTCGGGAAAAAACTGTTCTTGTGTCTAGTTGTTCTGGTGTACCGTGCTCTATAGCGTCGTTTTGAGGGAAGGAGTTGAAACAGTTTATGTCTGGGATGTGAGGGGTCTGTAAATATTTTCACAGCCCTCTTTTTGACTCGTGCAGTATACAGGTCCTCAATTGAAGGCAGGTGGGTAGTAATTGTTTTTTCTGCAGTCCTAATTATCCTCTGAAGTCTCTGTCCTGTTGGGTTGCAGAACCAAACCAGACAGTTATAGAGGTGCAGATGATAGACTCAGTAAGTTTGTTCAACTATGGTTTATTGATTTTAAGGGAAATTAAGATGAGGGTATTTAAACAGATTTGGTTTTGGTTCAATTTTTTTCAACAAAGAAAATTTATGTTCCATCAGGAAACTGTGAAGAACAGGAATTAAAGTTGAGGTTGACAGAGCCATGGGTAGAGAATGTTTCTTTTGAATGTATTTAAATCTCAGTGCATCCTAGGATACTGAAGTCTGGCTGAAATGTTACATAATACGTTTCAAAAATCTGCAGAAGTGGTGAGTACCAGATAAATGGAAAAGTATAAAGCTCTGTGTCTTCAAAATCAGGAAAAAGGGGGAACTATAATATGGTGTGTTGCTTAGAGGCACATACACACTTTTCTTTCAATTTTTAAGTGATAAGAAATTTTCATTTCCAATTGTCTTTTAAAATGCAATGCTACTGGTAGAATTCCAAACTGTGTACTACAAATTGAAGAAAATATGTGGGAAGAAGTAAGGAAAAATAAAAGACAACTCAATTCTGGAAAAGGGGAAAATGTGAGAAAGAAACTCAAAATAACCCTACTTTGATTCTGTTGGGTATAAGAATGGAAAGAGGGAAACTCTGCCAGTCTTCAAGATTCGGTACAATTCCTCTAATCCTTGCACTGTTTCACAACTTGGCCTACCTCAAAATATAGACTACTTGGGAAGATTCTAGACCAGATTACGAAAAGATTTATGTATGAGCACTTTAAAAGCAACACAAATTAACATATTTGCAGATAACACTAAATTAGGACATATACATTTATTAAAAGACAAAAGTAATTTTGGGGTTATTTTGATGGAATATAGAAATGGGTTGAAATTGCAAAATAAATATGTAATGGAGACTTATGCTTAGCTGTTTACATTTTAAAAAAATCAAATTCTCAGATGTAAGTTACTTAGCTTGGAAATAATACTTAAAGATTTATTGGAATGTGTAGTGCAGCTGACTTCTTACTGAATATGAGTCAGCAGTATAATGTGGCTGCACGAAAGCAAATGCAATGTGGGTGGCATAAAGAGAATGCTTGATCAGATCTCAGTTTCAATATTGATTGAGTATTGATAATCTCCAATTGTCTGGAGAAATTGTGGGATCTCTGTCGTTATATAAGTCCAAGAAGAAGCTTAATACCTGTATGGTAGGGATGCTTTAATTAGGATTGGGCTTGATGGCCTAAGGAACTCTTGACTTTTTTCAATTGACCTGAATCATAGTGATTTTACACAAAACCCTAAGCTAAACTCAAACCTTATTGTGAAGTACAATGTGTGAAACAAGTCTCCACCAAACTAAGATACTTTAAAAAGAAAACAGAATTTATGAAAAACATGCTAATGTTTGGTTATCATTCTGGATATATTTTATATATCTTGTTGTCGGTGACTTGGGACTGAGAGCCTGCTATTGTACTCAGTTTGTGATCTTCAACTTAGTGTCTAGATGCTCACCAAGATTCCTAATAACTCTTTTGTTTGATTCAGCAACAGTAACCGTATGTTCTTAAAGCTTGTTCTTACTTGATTTTCTCAAGGACACATAAAAGGATGTTAACAGTGGTGATTACTTTTCGTTAGTTAAACAGTTCAGGGAGAAAAATGGAGACCCTTTCACATGTGGGTAGTTCCAAAGAGATGTGCATCTTCTTTTGAAATTGGCAATTTATGATGGTTAAAGTTTTCCTGTGTCATAATAATTAGTTGGGGCCAAATGTACTGATTCTATAAAACATTTGAATATTCAGGGTTTATAGGGCTTGAAAGTTGCTTTGATTTCACTGTCTTAAATATACAGTATACAGTATAGAGTATAGACAAATGATTCTGCATAGAGTTGGAAATAAAACTTTCTTGAACAGACTCTGTAGTAGAATGTTTCAAATTCCACAATTCTGGGTAGAAAGACAGCTTCTAGCATAGTCTCTGTAGCAAGCACTGTGTTTTAAGTGCTGAATAAAGAGGAAGGAAACAGTACATTTTTTTTAACAAAGCCCCACTTTACACTGAGTAATTTTCTTGATGCTGTTACACAACTATAGTGCAGTATTAATCTGGCATTCTATCCTATCTGTCAGTAAGAGTGCAAGAGACAGCTTTACACTGTGGAGAAAAAACAGGAAACACCCATCTTCTGAGGGCCAGCTGTCAGTCTATTATTAAATTAACTTTCTTGACAAATATGCTTCAGAAGCTAGCTTTGTCAGTGTGAAATATGTGGCCCAACTTGTTCATTGGAACAGTCTTCATCTGTTAAGATCGTGAAGTGATCTAGTGATATATGGAAGTGGCCTTGGGAGAGGAGTCGGAAAGCTGCAGATTGGACAGTCAGTGTGTAAAAACTACATCAGCCCCAAGGAAGAGAGGGCATGGGAAATATTTCAGACGGGACCCATGTTAGTTTTCTGGAGAATAAAAGGAAAGGAGGGGAGAAATAACTTCTTTGCATGATTCTGTTAATATAATCTTAAAATAAACATAGAGCTACTATTTCTGGTCTGGGCTAACTTGCAGGGCTGACATCCTTTTAGTTGAGCTTCTGGTGACTTCATGGTCTTGCCATATTGTGGCAATAATAATATCTTCTTCAAGATTTTTCCCCAATTTGACTTGTAGTCTTAGTAATTCATGAGATATTCAAGTCCTAACCTAGTTCAATTCTGCTTAGCTTTTTAAGATCACTTGCATGCTATCTGATGTGGATACAACATTGTAGCACACCCAATGAAATTGGAACACGTTGGCATATACATACATACATACATACATACATACATACATACATACATACATGCCTTATAAGAGATCAGATCAGATATGACTTTTTTCTCCTGTCTTCATTTCTGAGCTACTAACAGAAGTTTAGCATCTTATTTAGAATATTATTTGAATTTAGTTGATTAAAATTATTTGAATTTAGTTGATTAGAATTTAGTTGTTCCAATTCTGGGATTCTGTTGGAAAATGGTAGATTGGACAGCTTTATGGAAATTGTCAAATTACAGTGATATGTATATTAACTTTAAGAAAATATTTAACTTCAGGTGGCATTTGACTTTATAACTGTTATTAATAAACCAGCCTCTTTTCAATAACTGGTAGATTTTAAAAATTCAATAGATGTAGTTTTAAAGTTGTTTTAAATGGTTTAGATTGACATTTCAATATAAAATATGAAAAATATCCATTACTATTATTTAGTTGTGAATGGTTTTATAATGCTCAATTTCCAGAGTGATTGAGGCATCTATTGTTTTTAAAGACTGGTGGAAGAGCCAGAATTAACCAGATGTTTTGTTAGTTACATGCCAGTTTTCATTTTTATTTTAATTCCAAAAGAAAAAGAAAAAAGGAATGGAGTGAAGCTTCTTAACTTTTTACAATGCTTCATTAAGTTTCTGAACAATTGTTGTTGCTGTGATAAGATACTATATTCAGTTAGGACTGTCATGATAGCCTCAGTTGAAATAGTACGTCTGTTCTGCAATATAAACAAATTTCTATATATGGAATAATTAAAAGTTTAACTACAATCTGTCTGACATTACAGCCTTGTATGAAAACATTCATAGAAATAGTTAAATATTGGATCAATCTGGATAAACTATTTTGTTTGGAAATGCCTTTACTTGTGTTTTGATAGAACTTGGTTGCAAGTACACAAAAAAGACATAGTGATGAATTTGAACCAAGTGGGGTCAAAAAAGAATGGAGAGCAAGCAAATCAAAAATTCAAAACAGAGATATCATTATTTAATAACAGGGAAGGGAAAAGAAAGAGTGAGAAAAATTACTGTGAAATAATTTCATTTGATGTCAGATCAATTTTGCCTGAGAAGGTCAATAAATGCCAATAGGTTTTCCTTTGGTTTATAAAATTTTGTTTATGGAACTGTCTATCTCCACACTGGTAAAGGAAAAAAGCCACAACACGAAATCAAAAGTTTAAGTCTTTGGAAAGATTTTTTTTTATTTTTTTTTTAAAAACCCACCAGTTCCCAGCAGAGCCACAGTTTGTAAACTACACCTCCCCACAGAGCTTTTTAGCATTTTATGGTAATGCCTATACTTTTAGAAAAATGCAAGGTAAAAATTACAGGCACTCCACAGAATTATCCATAAAAAGGTTGTGCATGGTAGTAAATTAACTTGCAGGTTTTGGCCATCCTTCATGGGTGTCAAGTGCAATTATGTTTGTGGAAAGTAGTTGTCAGACTGAAGTTTATGAAACTCCATCTGGGGAATGGCATAAAAGTCTGATTGGTAAGGAGATGAATTCCACCATTCCACATTCCAGGAATTTAATTGGAACTCTTTATCCTTTCCAAAAAGATAAAAGGACTATATATTGTATATGCAAGTGTTGTTTACAGGACTTAGTAAGAAGTAGGCCTTGCTAGCCTTGGAATTTGCTGTAAAGGTCAGTCCAAAAACTTAAAAGATATATTGAAGACTAGTGTACTTTCATGTGAAAAGTGCCGATAGCAAACTTTATTCAAGTGGGACTAACCAGAACCATACTGTATATCCTATCTTCTTCCTCCTTCCCTCCCTCCCTCCCTATCTTGCAATAATTGATAGAGGAAGTTTTCATGTCTTTATAAAAACAGGAAGCAAAATTACCCATTTCTAGAAACAACTAATAGGTGGAAAAATAGGCTAGGGAAAATTAGTGTTGTTGTATCAACAGGTTTTTCTGATCTGGAAATTAGTTGGGAATGTTATTGGCACATTGTCCAAACCCCAGGCAAGTTTTATGTGTTTGATGCACATGTATACACATCGGTGTATAAGTTTGTTTTTTGAGAATTTTGAATTAAACTTTACTTTTGCTTTAGAGATTTTATCAGGCCTTTTTTGTCTTTCTTCTATTATATCTTCTTTGTCACATAACCTAAACAAATCTACTATCCAAAAAGTTGCATCATGCAGTGAAATATTGTTTATTTTGGAAGCTGATTTTGCTTACTTACTAATCAGAGATGGTATTCAGCATGCTCTGACAAGTTCTGGAGAACTGGTAGCGGAAATTTTGAGTAGTTCAGAGAACCGGCAAATACCACCTCTGACTGGAGATTTTACAGTATCCTTCCCCTGCCACGCCCACCAAGCCACACCCACAGAACCGGTAATAAAAAAAATTGAATCCCACCACTGATACTAATAATGATTAATTCCATTACCATTGTTGAAATACAGTAAATATCCTGTGTTTGTGATAATGTGGCAATTGAAATTGCACAGTGCAGTTAGAAATCATGGACTTTATTTAGCTGTTAATATTTTGTAATATTCAGGTTTTATTTATTATTTGGAATAAATATTATGAAACTTATGGGTGGTCTTACTTTCTTCTTTATTTTTAGTGTGCTGATCCAGACCCCCTTGAAAAAAAATGTCCAGTAGGGGTGGAAAGAAAAAGTCAACCAAAACATCTCGCTCAGCAAAGGCTGGGGTCATATTCCCTGTTGGACGAATGCTTCGTTATATAAAGAAAGGTCATCCAAAATACAGAATTGGGGTCGGTGCTCCAGTATATATGGCAGCAGTACTTGAATACTTGACTGGTAAGTTCATTTTAATAAGACAATAGTGAGAAAGCAATAAAAATATAAAATAATCATAAACGGAATTCATGAACAAAGTGAGGAGGAGGTTTGGTATAGAAACATTATGCACATAATCCAGTTTGTCAAGTTTTAATCCAGGTTTCTTTTTTCTAATTCTTGGAAGTACAATACCATAAAATTTGAGCAGTTGTAAAAAAAATTTAAATTGAATTTACAATAGATTTCTCTGAAGATTTGTAGCTTTTGAATAATTGTTTGTAATATTTAAATACCCATGCACCCTTACAGTATGTAAGCTTCTAATAAGAATCAAGGTCAGGGTGTAACAGTGATCTTTAATGCATATAAAGTTTCTGCTCATAATTTGATTTTATAAAAGAAAAAGACCACAAATAGAAATTTAAGTCAACTTTTTAAAATAGAAGCAACTAAGATAATATTTTAAAAACCCTATATTTTTAAAACGTACAGTACTGAAAAATGATTGTAAGTATCTTTATGAAGTTTTGTTAATTTCACTTGGGCTAAATTCTGGTGAGGTATAGATAGCTAGGGTTAGCAGGATTCTTTGTTCTTTGTAAACTTGTAAAAGTTAAACATACAACTTTTAAGAAAACTGAATTATGTTTATTTTTAAAAAGATGTAATACTGAGCTGCTTTTAAATATTAAGTAGATTAATATTAAATAATATCAGTATAAAGCTAAAGTATTTCTACTATTCAATTTATGTGCCCTTAAGTCTAATTCAATTACTGATTACATGGATACATCCATATTGTTTCTTGATAAAATATGCAAATTTTATTTGCATCATTGCCTTTGGGATTCCCCCCCCCCAAACTTTTTCAGACCTGACATTTCCTAAGTTTTTCATCCAATTACTAATCAGGTTTGACCCTGCTTAACTTTTCAAGACCAACCATAGTCATCTAGAAATTGCCATTTGTTAAGACTGCCAGGTCTTCTGATAGTCTCTAAATATTTGAGATCAAAGTAGTGTATTCTTGAGTTAGTATATTATTGTAATATAAATATCTAAATTTGTACCATTATGCATTTTTCTTGGGAGTAAAAGGAATACTATCAGACATGAAATCTAAATCACAATATTCAAAACTGCATGTCCTTTTACAAAATAATCTTTGCCGTGTGTCTTATTTAAAAGAACAACTTGCAACAACATGTATTGCTACAAATGTTTATGTGCAACACATGCCTCCAATTATGTAACTGTTTTCCTCATTTCTGTCAGCTGAAGTATCTTGAGCAGAGAAATAAAATGAAGCATGAAGATCAAATGTGGAGGTTGGCAAAGATGGGGTGGTAGTGTAGAAGTATCCGGCAACTTGGGAATTTGTAAACATGGTCTGCAATCACTAAGGAAGGTATTATAGAAAGAACTGAGAAGAAGCCATTGTCTACTTCTAATTAGTTCCATTATGAGGAACTGTGATTACTCTGTGCTTGTATTCCTGCACATGTTTTCTTTTAATTGCCTGCATGGTTTTTCTGTTTAACTAATTTTTTTTAAATAAGCAAAGTTCAGAAAAAGACACTTTCATTTGTCTGATTACTCTGATGACTGTGCCCATTTAAAATCATTATGATCAAAAGTGAAAATGTTTATTTGCAGTGGGAATGTGTCATTTGCTTTTATGAAACAAGCAAACAAGAAGTACTCCATTTCATGGTCCTTTGAAATCTTAGTCTAGAGCACCGACCTTTCAGAACTCAGGGACCACTAAATTCATAATTTTAAATCCCACAGACCAATAATATGATCTGCCTAATGACTGGCTGGTCGGGCGTGTCTAGATGGTCATGTGACTGGGTGGACATGGCCAACTTGATGTCGCTTACATTGAGGGGCACCTCGCCGGCCTCTACATAGGCATTCCAAGCAGAGGGAAGACCTGCGGGAGTGCAAAGCCACGTACCAGCGCCTGGAGGCTTAGCAGGCTGAGATGGTTGGCAAGTTCCAGGCCATGATGCAGTCCCACTGAAACAAGGCCTTCTGGCTCTTTGCCATCAGCAGCATTCCCTCCAGCCTTTGCCCAAAGCCCTGCACCAGTAGGCTGAAGCAGACCTCAAGTCGGAATTTCTGCTCCCCACTGACCCACACAAAAAGACCCCGAAGGGGGAGACTCTGCAGCAACACAAATGCTCATTGCATGTACCTGGCTGGTAGTACCCGGCCCAGGGGGCGTTTTTGAGGACCCCTGATTTAATGCAATATAACAAATGCAAATAATTTTTTTGTGGACCACCAACATTTTCTCGTGGACCACCAGTGGTCCATGGACCACCAGTTGTTGACCGCTGGTCTAGAGCACTGTTTCAACCTGAACAAATTTAAGATGCGTGAACTTCAATTCCCAGAATCAATGCCCACCTGAATGCTGGCTAGAGAATTCTGGAAGTTGAAGTCCACACATCTTCAAATTGTCAAAGTTGAGAAACTAGTCTAAATGATCAAGTAAAATTCATCCATTGTATAGCTTCTGTTCCCTATAATTAAGCAATGTTATCTAGCAGTAAGTAAGCAAGCAAGTAAGCAAGCATTCTCTGTTGCAGCATGTGTCTAGTGGGCCACGAGAAAATTTTGATGGGCTGCAGAGAAATGTCACCCCTAGAGCACCCCCCCCCAAAAGCAATTAATCCAGGCTGCGCAGAAACACAAAGCTGCGCCACCCACGTGGCCCATGGGAACCCCCCCGCCGCCCACTCACTCTTTACCCGGCAAACTTGCCTGCTAAATTGCTATTTTTCCTTTCCATACATTTCTCTAATATACTTGGGATGTAGTTTGCTAGAAAAGTGCAATAGGAAGAATACTAGAACTGTCTGTTTTGCCCATTAACTTTTTCCTCAATTGGAAATGAACTGCCAGTACATGCATTTTATAAATTTAAAACAAACAATGCAAAAAAATAAATAAATCCCAGGATTGTAACTTCTCCTTGGAGTTGCTGATTTTGAGAGTTTGTTCTTGTGTGTTATGGCATCACCAAAATCCTCAAGAAATTTCAGATGTAAAAAATCAGATTTCTGTAGAATCATAATTCATGGATGAAGACTTATGCTAAGGCATTGAACGCTTGAACAATAAAGCTCTCTCTTGCCAGTTTGTTTTACTTATCATTTTAAGTCCTCATTATGTTGGTTGTTCCATTATCTTGAACTCAACCCGCAATATTACTTTTTTCCTTCTCTGGAAAAATTGAAGTAATTTAAAAACATGGGGCAATTGTATCCGAGTCATAAAACATAATTTTTAAAGGATGTTTATTGCAACCTCTGTGATGTGTAAAACTAATTTGATTTGATGAATAACATTTATAAGTTTTGAATATTACTTAAAATGCATCCTAAGAGGGAATAAAAAGTTTTCAGTGAAAAATGACAGTATCCTTTTGCATACATGTCATTCCTGCATATGTTGTGCGGTATGATTTCTATTTATGTTATGCGTGTCCAAGTTAAATGGATCAACTAATACTGAAAACAAAATATACTTACTTGAAACATTCTCGGATTGATACAGCCAACGAACCCCTTCATAAGCAGCAAGTATATTTTTCTGATAGCAAGTCTAAAAATGGGTTCCATATTATCTGTGACCGGCAATGTTGTTGAAGGACTGAAATCTCTGAGCTCAGAATTGGTGACCCCCATCCAGAAGGCTTTCCACCGTAGTCAGATGATCCGCCTGTTTTGAAGGAAATCACATAAATCAAGCCGGCACCAGAGAGCACAACAGGCAGAGAAATTAGGAGGAAATTACAAAAGGTGATGAAGAAGTGAAATTGGGATGAGGAAATGCAGGGCCTCTAGGCAAGAATTGCCCTTGTGGAACTGTTGGCTCTTTATGCTGTTCTCTAATGTGGCAAGAATAAGCAAAACATTTTTATAGTCAAAATTTTTGAAGTTGATTTGCTGCTGTCTTTGAAAAAAGGAGTCATGTACCTGGTCTTTGAAGACCATTGTAGGTAGTCCTTGACTTACAATAGTTCATTTAGTGGATGAGAAGCAAAACATTTTCAAGAAGAAAAACCAAGAAAGCCCACTTGCTTTTTGGAAAAGGACCCTTGGATCGTTTAGTGGCCATTCAAAGTTACAGTGGCACTGAAAACAGTGACGTGACTGTTTTTCACACTTAAAACTGTTGCAGCATCCCCATAAACATGCAAACAACATTCAAATTTTGTCATTATTTATGACAGTTGCAATGTCCCAGGATCATTTGACTGCCTTTTGCTACCTTCTGACAAGCCAAGTCGATGGGGAAGCCAGATTCACTTTACAATTATGTTACTAATTTAACAACTGCAATGATTCACTTAAAACTGTGGTGACAAAAGTCTTAAAATGGAGCAAAACTCACTTAACAACTGTCTCACTTAGCAATGGAAATTTTGGGTGCATTTGTGGTTGTAAGTTGAAAACTATCTGTGTTCTATTATTGTTCCGTTGAAGTGAAAGCCAGTGATAAGGTATGGATTAGGTGCATTTACAGCTTTAAAAAATGCACAAAAAAAGAACTTTACAGTTTGTTTTAATAATTACTATTACCTGACTATGCTTCACTTGTTTGGTTTTCAGTTCTAATTCTTGTATTTGTTTTCATCTTTCCCCTAATTTTCCTCCTGTCTTTTCAGCAACTATTTATCTCATATAAAAAGCAGTATTTAATTCTGCAGTTGCAACATATAAATGCTTATGGATGCTGCATTGAGGGTGTTTGGAAAACATAATGGCTTGTCAATGTCTCATGGTCACTTTGGCAGCAAGGTTAATGGACAATATAAATATTTGAGATTAAAATGTTCATTGCTATCTAGATCAGTAACATTTTGCATTCAGCATCAGAACATCTCTATAGTTAAATGTTAGTTTCTTTCCATTGTATCCATATTTTTTAAAAAATCTACTTGCAGAACACACACATATACATACATACATACATACATACATACATACATACATACATGCATA